TAGCTGGGACTACAGGCGCCCGCAACCACGCCCAGCTAATTTTTGTATTTTTAGTACAGACGGGGTTTTCCCATGTTGGCCAGGCTGATCTCCATCTCTTGCCCTCGTGATCCGCCTGCCTCGGCCTCCCAAAGTTCTGGGATTACAGGTGTGAGCCACGGGCCCGGCCGACAGGATCCCATTTCTGTGCAATATCCAGGCAGGCCAATCCAGAGTCAGGAAGTGGATTCAGAGTGGCCAGGAGCTGGTGGAGGGGATGGAGAGTGACACAATGGGAATGGGGCTGGCTTTTGGGGTGACAGAATGTTCTGGAATTAGAAATAGTGGTTGCACAGCCATGTGAATGTACTCGATGCCACTGAATTGCACACTGTGAACAAGTGAGTTGTACAGTATTCAAATTAAATCTCAAAAAAAATTCTTTTTTATTCCTTAACAGGAAACCAAGCATGGAGCATAAAAAACAGCTGTGGGGCGGGCGCGGTGACTCACGCCTGTAATCCCAACAGTTTGGGAGGCCGAGGTGGGAGGATCACCTGAGGTCAGGGATTCAAGACCGCCTGGTCAACACGGTGAAACCCTGTCTCTACTAAAATAACAAAAATTAGCCAGGCGTGTGCTGGGTGCCTGTAATTCCAGCCACTTGGGAGGCTGAGGTACAAGAATCGCTTGAACCTGGGAGGCGGAGGTTGCAGTGAGCCGAGATCATCGCACCAGTGCACTCCAGCCTGGGCAACAGAGCAAGACTCCATCTCAAAAAAAAAAAAAAGCTGAGGGGGGCAGGGGTGTCCCATCACCCAGGCTGCCCACCCCCAGCCCAGGGCTGCCTCTTGCAGGAAGCCTCGGCTCACCTTTCCCTCCCAGTGCACCAATCCCAGGGCTCACTGCTCAATGCTCTCAGGACAACCTCAGAAGGCCAAGGCCTGGGCTCTGCCAGGGCTGCAGGCTGCGCTGGGGCTGGGCCTGGACAAGGGGCCGCCAGCTTGGGGAGGGGCTGGGAGAGCAGGATGAAGGGAAAGGGAGGTGGGTGACGGGGACAGGGGCACAGAGGGACACAGTCCTCCCAGAAGAGATGCCAGTGAGCAACTGGCTCCAGCCCCTGGCTATGCCTGGTGCCCTGCAGGACTGCCCAGCCCCGAGCACGTTCCCCCAACCTCCACTGGCCACCTCGGCCTGGCTGCTCGAGGGAAGCCTGCGTCTCGGCTCTCTCCAGGCTATGTGGTGGTGGCACCAATTCCCAGCAGGGCCCGGGAAGGTTATTTTTAGAGCTGGCCGGGGCCTGTATCCACAGCCTGGCAGGCGCCCAGAACATTGAGAGGGACGCTGAGGGCCAGGCTGGGCTCAGCAAAGGCCCTAGGGCCCAGTGCCCTCCTGCCTGCTAGCTGCTCAGGAGAGCTCGGGGTGGGCCCGAGAGGCCCGGCTCAGCCCCAGGTCCCCTTGTTCCCCAGGGCTGTGTGTGCCCTAACCTCCCCCGCTGACGAGGGTCACAGGCCATTCCCAGGAGGCAAGACTTGCCTTCTATTCAGAGCAGATGAGTGGTGGGGGCGGGGAGGGCGCTGTTTTCACACAGCAGGGTCCGGATGCTCCGACACACAGGGCCTGAGAGC